CTGGCTCTATTGCCCCTCCTCTCTCGCCAATGCTGTTTTTAATAGTTAGGTGTGGTGTGTCATCATCTTTTAGTGTTAAGACTGATAGTTATAGGCTCTATAGCTGCAGTAGCAAAGCAAGACCTATTGTTAGTTTTCAGCTCCATGGCTGCAATAGCAGTGCAAGGACTGCTTAGATGTTTTGGGCTTCAAGGCTACAATAGCAGTACAAGAATTCTTTTGTAGTGTGGCTCTGTGGCTGTAATATCAGTTCAAAGACTGCTTTTAACTGGCTTTGCAGCTGCAATAGCAGTGCAAGGACTATCATAAATATTATATATATGAGTTATATTTTTTCTTATAAAAAATTAGAGTTTATATATACAATTCTCATAATAGCTATATGAGTTATTTTGTTCAAACTCTTAACATATAAGTTGTGATGAACTAAGTAAGTTGTCTTTCGACATTTGTTTGAAGTTTTATTGATGTTTTAGAGTCAAGGACCTCTCTAGTTGTATATTACTCTATTCTTATATATTTTTAGCTTTGTTTTTTCTTTCAATAAAGTCATCTAATTAAGCAATAATAATAAAGAACATTTAGTGAAGTTCAATCAAATTATTTAAATTTTTTTTAAATTATCAACGAAGTAATTTTGAAGCTAAAGATATTTTAACAGAAATTGAAATAATATTAAGAGTGAAAATACTTTATTACCACTAAAAGTTGTAATCTTAAAACCAGAAGATAATTCAAATTGTGATAAAAATGTATATCAAGCAATAATGTATTATAATGATGTAGAAGTTGTCTATTAGGTAAAACTGTTTGTACAAATGAGACTATTTTTTGATGTTTCTATCTTTTTCATAATAATTATCCAGAATTAAACTTTCTTTTAAGTGGGTAGTATACAAATAAAGTTATATATACTACACTTATAAAAATAATTTCAGAATACAGAATTTTTAATTTAGCAAGTATATTATATGTTTTTTATTTAGATAAATTAGAGCAGGAAGTTGATTATTTAGCAGCCTGTAGAGTTTTAAAACTATTGTGAATTGGAGTATATCAGAAAATTTTTAAATAAGGTAGATATCGATTAATACTTTAAGGAGATAATCAATAAGCATCACTTCTGTGGGTTATTATCAATATAGATTGAAATCAATTGGCAGTGAAATTGTCAATTAGAATTGATTAAGAGTAGGGTGAACATAGATCATTTTTAATAGTAATCACATTGCAAATCATATGATATTATATGATTTACATTGATTTGACCAATTAGAATTGTAAACAATAGAAATCTGACCAATAAGAATTAGTAATTTTTGTGTTACCTAGGCAAATTTCAATCGACCTAGGAGAATTTAACAATATATAGAGGTAGATTTTTTTTAAATGATATAAGGACCAAAACTTTTATCATAAAGAAAAGGGTTTAATCTATATATTATAAAGTTTTGGTAAAGTTTAGTTGAAGCCTTAAAAATTTTTACTAATAGCATATGCTTAATTTTTATATAAAAAATTTTTAGCATGTGAGATTATATGACAAATAATCTATGCTTACCCTACCCTTAAGATTATAATTAATTAGCATCAAGTTTATCAATTTGAATTGATTTAATTAAAATCGATTAGTATTGATTAAAATTAATTACAATTAATTATAGTATTTAGTAACTCAAATAATTCAAATATATCTATTTATATATTAATTATAAATGTTTAAATAAACTATATTATTGCACAGGTTTTATATAATAATACATATTTAGCTAAATTGAAACACCAATATAAATTAATAATTTTTTTCACTTCACATATGCCAATTTTTTTTAGTTAAAAACATTATTGCTTTTGTAGTGCTATTACTTTTCTGATGTCATTACTTTTCTGATGTTTACTTTTCTAGTTTTGTTATTTTTTTTGGTGGTCACTTTTCTAGTGTTGTTATTTTTTCTGGTAGTTACTTTTCTAGTGTTGTTACTTTTTCTAGTGCTATTGTTTTTCCTAGTATTGTTATTTTTTCTGGTACTATTGATTTTGATCTCTTTTTCTGATGTCGTTATTTTTCTTGATGCTATCATTTTTTCTAGTGTTATTGTTTTTTCTAGTGGTATTAATTTTGATCTCTTTTTCAGGTGTTGATATTTTTTTCTGATGTTATTTCTTTTCCTGATGCTATTGTTTTTTTTAGTGTTATTGCTTTTTCTGGTGGCATTGATTCTGATCTCTTTTTTTGGTGTTGTCACTATTTCTAATAGTGTCATTGTGCTATTACTTTTCTTGGAGCCTTTTTTGTGATTTTGTAAGTGGGTTTGTTGCTTGGTAGATTTTGCTATTAGTTTTATCAGTTTACAAATATATCTGTCTACAGTTAAACCTCTCTAATTGTATCCTCTATAAATGCAATATCTTTCTAAATGTATATTTTTGTGTTAGCTATATAAAATCATTAGTACTAAATACATGTTCTATATTTAGTAAATGCAAGTTTATTTAAAAGATTTTTTATATTATACTAATCTCTCTAAATGCACATAGGCAATCAGAATTTAGTATTAAATTATATTATACTAACCTGCAAATCAAATATTAAAAAATGCAATTTGATTGGCTTTCTCTAATTGCAAATCTAACTTAATGCATAGTTTCAACTGGTCTGTATACATTGCATTTAAAGAGGTTAGATGGTACTCTTTTTAAGTAAGTGTTTCTTGTAGATGGTGTTACTTCATTATTGTAGTTATTAATTAAGTGATTTTGTTTTAAGAAGTGGTGATTATGTTGTAGTAATATTATAAATATACTTGCAGTAGTTTATTGAGGAGAGTATAATTTCTTTTTTATAGTTGTTTTGTTGTTTTTATTCATAAATATAACTAATGCACTTTTCTATATTACAACAAATACAATTTTGACATTTGCATTCCTTCCTGACCTTCAAGTATAGATGTTAAGTAAGACTTGGAGCTTCGCATTGGCATACATTGAAGCTAAGTTCTCTGAAAAGCAAATTGTAGCAAACTGACAAAGGTGTAAAATATGACGAAACTTGCAAAATGTAATAAACTGATGAAACTAGTAAACATAGTGAAACTGATAAAATGTAAAAAACTGACAAACTGGCAAAATGTGACAAGCTGGTAAAATGTAACAAAATGTGATTAACTGAAGTAATAAAGAAATATGACCAATTGATAAACTGGTAAAATATATAAGCAATAGATCTAAAACTCTGGTACTAACTTGGATTTAGCTGTGCATTGTATCATATTTAGAATACTATAGTTTGTGCTATACAGTAGCTTACAAATTATTAATAAATAAAAAATTTAATTAATTTTTAGAAATAATATTTAGTAAAATTATCCAGAATAATGATTAGATTTATTTTTTTATCAAATATAAAAATGGTCTGATTTAGTTATTTATTTCTAAATTAATTTGTCTCTACATTTTTAAAATTATTGAACAGTATTAGGATACTAATATATGATAAAAAAACAGTATAATTTATTATTTTAGTCAGATCAGTTAAAAGCTAGCATTCCATTATATAAAGAAGTTTATTTTTAGAAGTACTGATTTTTACTTGGCAGCACCTATATAATATCTGATATCAATATTTTGTATTAAAAACACTGATTGTATATGTGATTAATAATATAAGATTACAATTCTTCAGGAAATAAATTTTTTATCTACAGGTTTTTACTTTATATACTAATTTAATTTTTATAATTCTTATCATAACACCATATTTATTTAATTTTGTTAATTTAGTTTAGATATTGAAACTGTTTAATATATATTATCTCTTGTATAACCTATTGCATAACCTAAATAAATCTATTAATTTGGTCATAACTATTGCTATTCAGATGACTAATTATGGGTGCTCTTAAGCATCTAAATTAATAGGTCTGAGTTCAATTTTTAATTAGTAGAAATAAATTATTCATTCAAGTAAATTCATTATTATAATAAAAAAGATGTTTAGTAACTATCTTTTTTTATCAAAGTTGTGCTAATTGGCTAAAATTTAATCCATATTTCGCAACATAAATCTTTAACAAATTATTATATGAATTATTTCAATTAATAGTAGTACTTATATACAATCTCTATAGCTAGATAATTATATTAATAAAGATGCTTGAGAGCACTCTAAGTTACAATTACTATTATATTAGTTATTAAAATTGGCAATCAAATTAAACAAATTTACAAGGAGAACAAAACTTTGTACCAGCAAAACTTATTAGTTATCCAACCTCATCAATAATTTTATTATTGCATACAGTGATAGGACAGTGGAGATAAAAAATGATAATATTTAATTTAATATTTAATAATTTAAAGAACAACTTTCCTTAATAAAATGTGTTATATAACATTTTAATTTCCCATTAGATTAATAAAAAGATAATTTTAAGGTTGTTAGAAGGACTTAGTTCAATAAGAATTATTTAAAAAAGTGAAAAATTAAACTTAATGCAAATTACACAGAAGCTTAATTACATATAAACTTGTTCAGAGGTTTTAAAAAAGTGAAACTATCCAACAAGAATTTTAAAGTAAAATCTAGATTTTATTTGATAAAATTTTAAAGAAAGACTAATAGTATTATGATTGTTCTAAGATTTTTTTTAAAAAAAATAAAAACCAATATTAACACTATTTATTACTATGTGACAATTTTAAAAATATAATACAAATTAATTTAGAAATAAATAACTAAATCAAACAATTATAAACCCCAAACAACCAAGCCGATCGAATTACCGCATCGCAAACTTTTGCTAAGCAAAACAAAACCCAAATAAGCGAATAACCGCTATAAGTCTTTAATAACAAAGCAACATGGAAAATTACTTCCAACGCCTCATCACTTCTTTGAGATCGCAAACTCAAATTAACCTCTTCGAAACTACAAGAATCGATAATCTTCTTGCTAATTACGCCAGCAATATAGCTCTCTTCCGCTATGCAATTCCGACCACATGTCAGATTTCGTTCTAAAACATGGCATCGTCGTAACTGGTGAAGCTGTCGGACAACATGAACACCCGGTTCATGCAACCTTCAAAAGAGACTGGGTTCATAACGTTTACCCCAGAATTCTCAACCAAGACGTCACCTTAGCGTTTATGAAAGAAGAAAAGGCTCTGCGCCTGGCACATCACATCCATCAAATCCACAGAAATTACATACAGGTGTTCCACACAAATTACGCTTACGTTGCTGAAGACATGACTCGATACCATCTCTTCAGACGCGCTCTTGTTACCGAGGAAAATCGGATCAACAACCAGCTTTTTTTTGGCAGGACGCACTACATTATTTTTCATTTGAAGACATTGTTAGAGTGTTTAACAATAATCCTGCACTAATGGATCTGTACGCTACTGTTCACTGTCCACCAGAACTACTTAGCCACGACCCAAGCATCTACTCCCAATTTTACCAACTTTACTATTACCCAAACAGACGCGACCCCAAAATATTCAAATACGTACCTGAAGGTCACTCAGATGGGAAATACACTCAGGACTACCAGAAGACTATTTAATGGCTGCAATTCAAGAGTATCCAGTCCAATAATGTCAACCTTGAAATTCACCACCTTAGGGAAAGGTGTGGCCACCACCTACTCTTAATCACAAGACGCTCTTTTTTAAATGAGCCCCACCTCAGCTTTCATTATGATGATTCACCAGAATCCCAACCCTTCACGACCCAAGACTACTAAAGCTTGAACAGACTTTCAACAAAACGCGAAAATTTAGCAAAGGCCCTTGAACACTCTCGCACGATCAACAAAATGGATCGAAAAAGCTGCGCTGCCACTATCAAAATGTTCTTTAAAAATGAAAAGGAAAAAAATCCTGCGCTGTTCATTTACTTTGAAGAAAGTTTGCTCATTGCCTACAAAATAACTACTCCAGTCGCATTTTACTCAGCCAACTCTGGAACTTTTTTCGGCATGATCGCTGACAAAACTTACTGAGCACTGTATAATAACACCATTGGCAAGCTTGTCAATCACGCGCACAACCTTGCAATAGCAACAATCAGTTGCAGGTCCTATTCAGTTGAAATTCAGAGAAAAGACTACCAACTTAGACATTCTTTATCCATTCAGCCCATCCTATTAGCTGGAGGAACTTCAAATATAGAAAATCCCAGAACCTTGATCGAGAACAACTTTAGGAATGCTTACTTACAAGCTGAAAAACCCTACCAACTCCGACCATTCTTTTACTACCGAAACTCAGCGCTCAAGCTAAGCGCCAACAATCAATTAGACGCCATCACCATTCAAAAAACCATCGACAAAATCCTAGCTGACTTTCAATTTCACAAAACGTTTTCTCTATCCTACTTTCCGTTCAGCGACATTCACATACAACATAATGGTAACCAATTCCTGGTGGAAAGAAAAAGAGCTTTTGACTCAACCCTATGTTTCTTTGAGTGGGCAACTCAAAACTGGGGACCTCCCGCTGCCCCACCACAAAATTTTCACTATGATGAGTACGACCATTGCTTTCAAAATTTGATTCAATATTTGGGGCAAAACTTTATTTATTATGATTACCACGGCGCTTCTTCAAGCGCATCCAGCTCCACTTTGCTACCAATCAACCAAATTAACTCTACAAAAAAAAGAAAGACAAAAACCACAACCACCAGTTACGACTCTGACTCAGATAGCGACAGCTGCGCCACTACCACTGTCACTGATCAAACCAACTTAATCTCTAATGATCTTCAGAGAAGAGTAAACCAAGTTCTACAAAAACATGAGTTGGAGACTGAAGATGACGATGCTGACTCTATCCCCAGCATTGACACTATTACCACAAGCCTTCCCGATGAGCAAAAGAATAAAGGCCCAGGCTCAAAACCACTGTTTATCAGCAAGGAGTACCAATTGACCAACCCATTACCAGGAACATCAAAGTCAGGAAAACCTGATGTTGTTAATAAGAAAGGTTACAATTATTTGAACCCCAAAACCATAGATAGGGAAAGGAAACCCAAACGCATCGCTAAATTAAACTCAACTAACCAAGCAATCGTTCTATCTAACCACCCTAATCCAACAGCTAGGGACATCTGCCCAGTTCCCAAGAGCACCGACATCAATCCATATACAATTTTGATCCCAATTAATCTTTCAACCCAATTTTTTGGTCGAGTAAATACTTCAAGCAAAACTCTTAATTTTAATGCCAATCATTTGGATCTCATATACTCAATTGCAATTAGACATCCTACTCAAACTCCAA